ATTTATAACGGATTGGATATTCACGGATACCTAAAAAAAATTTGGATATTCGATTTATAACGGATCGGATCGGATATTCGTAAATATCTTTAAAAAAGTCAAATATCCGAATTTTCGGATATCCGAAAATTTACGGATCGAATCGGATAAAAAGTTCAACTATCCGCCCAGGACGAAACGGATAGCATATACCAATTTTTTCTGGATATCCTCTCTGTGCCCGCCTAGTATGAAGAAAACCAACTGAATATACATTGACTAGTATTGATTTTTTAATTTTCTGGTTGATTACATTGATTACGTTTGTATTGTTTGTTCCTACTTCTTTGCTTATTTCCATTATTATACTTGTTAAATAATAGTAGTGCTCCTTAGTCACTCTTCCAATTTTTCTATGTTGTAGGAATAGTGATAATTCCATTAGTTACTTTCCCATTACACTCTCTGATTTTCCACACGATATTTGCTTACAAACTATTTCCAAAATGCCTATTAAAAAGATTTTGTAATTCTCTGTCTTTGTCTTTTGATCTCTATCTGAGCAACTAGTATACATATTTGTGGTCTTATAACATTTAAAATTTGTGGACGTCTATCTATAACAATAGTGTGTTCATGAGTATTATAAAATTATGGTAAAATGGATACTGAATTATTTTTAGAGAAAAAAAAACAATTTATTTGGTAAATAATATATGTCAAGGAAAAAGAGATTTATTTCCTTTTTTCTTTATTTTTCACGCGGACAACATAATTTTTTTTCTTTTCTTACAAAAAAAAAATTGCCACAACAATTAAATATAAAAAAAAGGAAAGGAACTTAATTACTTTGAACAACAAAACCAGATATTGCTTTGGTCTCTAATCAATTTTTGGTGTCTCTCCTCGTAATTAACTACATCAAAATCACATATATAGACCTCCAATCCTTATCTCATTTTTTCTCTTGCATGCTAAGAGTCTTATCTCTAGTAAAAAAAGCCTTCTTCTTCGTGTCCTTCTTCACAAGAGAATCCATCTTCTTCAAGTTATAAAACACACACAAAAAGAGAGAATCCATTTCCTTCGTAGCAATCCCAATCCATGGATAATACATCATCTAATTCAAAGGGAAAAATGATCATCAATACCAATGATCAGATAAGCAAACTCCCAAATGATGTTTTGGTAAAGATCCTAGGGAGAATGACTATGGTAGATGCTGTGAGGACAAGCGTTCTAGCGCGACGATGGGAAAATGTATGGAAGGAGACGTCTCATCTCTCGTTGGACATGAGATGGATCGCTAGAGCCAGAAGCCTTTTGTCCGATGTTACTCCTGAAGCCGCTAAATCGGTGACTAAGGTAGGTCCATACAATTTTCTTAATATTTTCTCTTAGTTTTTTTGGGGGAAAGAAATTACATGAGTAGATCTGGTTATAATCTGATGGATGATGTAGGTTGATGTTACTTATGTTACAAAACCCTAAGATAACCCATGAATAGTTTAACTAGATGATTATTGATCTTTGTTTGTTGATTGTTGGAGTGCCAAAATCAGAACCTAGATAACCCATGATTACATTTTCTATTGCTTGCAGTCAAATAGCATCATTTTGTGTAAAAAAAAAGGAAGAGCTTCCTGTTTGTATGAGATGTTTAATATGTTTTTTGTTGGTGTTTGTTGTTGTTATATGTATTTATGGAATTTTATTTTAAGCTTAACGGTTTTTCGCGCGAAAAATAAAAAATTTCAAAATTAATGATCACCAGGTTTAAAATTAAATATAATGAATTTGAAATTCGCGCATTTATCAAAGATAAAGATTAACGGTTTTTCGCGCAAAAATACTATATTTTCAAAATTCATGATCAGTAGATTTGAAATTAAATGTAGACCATGAAATTGTTATTATTGTAGTGAGTAGGAAATCTAGGAAAACATGACTTTTTTTGCCTTATACGACCTAGAATAAACACTTATATTCGAACTTGGTGGATTCATAATATGATATATACATGTCCAATATATATAAACTAATTAAACTTATTGTTTATCAGATTTAAAAGAGTTGTTTTCTTGAAAAATTATATTGCAATTTAATTGTATGAAATGTTGCAGCATGTATCAAAAATATATATGTCCTACATCATATTCTTTGGTTTTGTAGGTCATAAAGGATCACCGTGGCAATTTGGAAAGCTTCACACTCTTCCATGAGCCATGCCAATATGAACAAGGGATGTTCGAGGCTTGGATTCAATCACTGATTCATGAGAAACTCACCAAGCATCTCATGCTTGTAAACTGCCGGTCGGAACAAAACACAAAACAAAATATCCCACTCAACTTGCCCCCAAAGTCATTTTCCCATCCAAACCTCCATTCACTAATGCTAAGTCAGTACGACTTAGAAACTCCACATGCTTTCAACAGCTGTTGGAATATAAAAACTCTCAAACTCATTGGCATATCCGCCGAGATTGAAGTCTTTAATGTAGTCCTTGTATCCTGCGTTTCCCTCGAAGCTCTTGTGTTAAAGATCAGCTGCCACAAAAGAAGTGGTATTCTCAAGATTGAGAACCGCAAATTAAAGTTCTTACATCTCTCTTGTTCTGATCAGATTGATGGCCTAGAAGTGTCTTCACCTGGTGTGGATATCTTTTCAATTGAATCTCTTTCGAGTGACGTGGATAAGGTCGTCATTGCAAACCCTAGAATCAAGTTCAGTAGAAACTATTGGACGACAGGAACAAATTTCCCTCACATAAGCTATAATATCTCATGCCCCGATCAGGTATGTATATTTCTTTTACATGTATTTGTATTTTGATAGAGAAAGAAATAATGTTAATATTTAATTTAACATGTTTGACATATATATATTAATGTAAGGAGGAAAAAAGCGTTGGACATGAATTCATGATGAGCAGACCAAGTGACTATATGAAAAGGTTTGGATCGATGTCAGTGAGTGTAGACTTGACTAATACAAAAGAAGTTGAGATGCTTAAAGATGTTTTAGTTGCATGGCCTGTAGAAATGGTAGAACTTGAGATCAAGTTTAAGGTACGTTCATTTCATTTCATGTTTCATTCTACTCATAATTGGACAAATTTAGCTGATTTTCTCTATTTCTCATAACATAAATATTGGACCAATACATGCTTCTTTGCATATGTAGAATAACAGTACTCCTCAGAATGAAGGTGAGTCTTCGATTGGAGGAACATGGAAGAAGTTTTGGGAAGGGACAAAACCGTTTCCCAACGCTAACTTCCGTGCATATAATATATGGCTGATTAACTTCAGCGGTTCAAAAGAAGAGTTTGCGTTCGCCTCGCGTTTGATAACGCAAGGTACGGTGGCTAGGACTATGGTGATCAAACTGTCGCCGGTTTCTCCAACTAAGAAGTCTGAGCTAAAAGCAGCAGTGGCTAGGCTAAAGGAACTTCCAAAAGGTCACAGGGAGCTTGGTATACTTGTGAGCTGAAGAAACTTGGTTTGAATCTAACCATTGGTGATGGAGCCATTGGTGATGGAAAGAGAAACTTTCTACTATCTTGTTTTTAAAAATAAAAATTGGAGTTTATGTTGTTTCAAGTATTCCGTTTGGCATTGTTTTTCCTTGTTTTTATGTTTGAGATATTTGGGACCTAATTTGTATTAATTTGGTGCTGTCTGATTGTTCTGTTGAATTATTATCTCATTGGTTTGTTGAGTTCTTGTCTTGGTCGATGGTTTTTCAAAAAGGATTTATGCTATCATGAGTTAATTAACAAAACCGAAATGTTATTTATTTAATTTTTTTCACAGAGAATAATGGAACAAAAAAATGATTTCTTCACGACAAACACATTTTATGGAAAACGTTCAAAGCTTTTGTCGTTGTCAAGACAAGGTAATTATGTGTTTTCTACTAGAATTCTATCTTACTCTATTGGCTAGAAAACATAGAATTGTATGTTTGAAAAATAAAATTCTATGTTTTTGTGATATACTTTTATGTTTTCTATGATA